GCCCAGGCGGGTCTCGAACCCGCGGGCTCAGGCAATCCACTCACCTCAGCCTCCCAAAGGCGCGGGATTACAGGCTGAACCACCGAGCCCGGCGCATTTTTATATTGTGAATATAAGTCCTTCATTGAATATGTGATTCACAGATATTTTCTTCCAGTCTGTGGTTTGTCTTTTCATTCTCTTAAGAATGTCTTTAGAAAAGCAGAAGTTCATACTTTTGATGAAGCCCAGTCTATAATTTTTAAAAAATGAAACATGCTTTTGATGTTTTATCTAAAAGATCTTTGCCTATCCCAAGTTTTATGGAGGTGACATTTGTAGTTGTTGCTGGGCTGTTTGAGTTCTTTGTAGATTGTAGATATTAGTCCCTTGGGTGTGTAGTTTGCGAATATCTTCTCTCATTCTGAAGATTGTTTATTCATACTGCTGATGATTTCTTTGGCTGTGTAGAAGTTTTTTAGTTTAAGTCCCACATGTCTGTTTTTGCTTTGTTGCTTGTGCTTTTGAGGTCTTAGTCAGGCATTCTTTGCCTAGGCCAACATCCAGAGGAGTTTCCCCTAGGTTTTCTTTGAGTATTTTTATAGTTTCAGATCTTACATTGAAGTCTTTGATCCATCTTGAGTTAATTTTTGTACATGGTGAGAGACAGAGGCCCGGTTTCATTCTACTGCATATGACAATCCAATTTTCTTAGCACTGGGGAAAGCAGAGTGTCCTTTCTCCAGTTTATTTGTTGACTTTGTTGAAGATTAGTTGGATGTAGTAAAGACGTAGCTTTATTTCTGGGTTCTCTATACTGCTCCATTGATCTGTGTCTATTTTTATACCAGTACCCTGCTGTTTTGGTTACTATAGCCTTGTAGTATAATTTGAAGTCAATTAATGTGATGCTTCCTTCTTTGTTCTTTTTGTTCAGTAGTGCTTTGGCTAATTGCTTGGTTTCATATAAATGTTAGAATTTTTTTTCAAACTCTGTGAAAAGTGATGTCAGTATTTTGATAGGAATTGCATGGAATCTGTAGATGACTTTGGGCAGTATGGTCATTTTAACAATATTAATTCTTCCAATCCGTGAGCTTGGGATGTTTTTCCATTTGTTTGTGTCTTCTTTAATTTCTTTCATTAATGTTCTGTAGTTTTCTTTGTAGAGATATTTTACCACCTTGGTTAAATTTATTCCTAATTTTATTTTCTTTTGCACCTATTGCAGATGTGGTTGCCTTCTTGATTTGGTTCTCAGCTTGATTGTTATTCATGTACAGAAATGCCACTGATTTTTGTACATTGATTTTGTGTCCAGAAACTTTACTGAATTTGTTTATTATGAGAGTTTTTGGGAGGAGCCCTTAGGTTTTTCTTGGTGTAAGATTATATTGTCAGCAAACAGAGGAAAGTTGACTTCCTCTTTCCTAGTTTGTATGCCTTTTCTTTCTTTCTCTTGCCTTATTGCTCTGGCTAGGGTTCCTGTGCTATGTTGAATTGGAGTGGTGAAAGTGGGCATCCTTGTCTTGTTCTGGCTCTTAGAAGGGAGTTTAAAAAAGTTTTCTCTATTCACTATGATGTTGGCTGTGAGTTTTCATATACGGTCTTTATTATTTTGAGGTATGTTTCTTTTATAGTCAATAGGATTGTATTTTATTAGCGTCAAGGAGGTGTGAAAGTGCTAGTCTTTATGCTCCTGGGCTAGCAAGTAAAAAGACAATAAAAACTCCTTGGTGTTTATTTATTCGTTTATGTAGTTTTAAAGATGCAGCAGTAAACAAGATAGATATGATACTTGGTCTGCTTTAACTTTTTGGTTTCTTACTTCCTATTTGGCGTCGTGACAAACTCCCATGTTACTGATTTTCTCCTGGTTCTTTTCTTGTGTACTTGGTCTTCTACTTACAACTTTTTCTGACTATAGATTTACATGCGTTTAGAATAGTTTATTTGTATTTTGACCTTATTTTCTGTTTATGGCCATAGTGTTCTGAGATTAATCAAGAATCCCAGGTTTATTTTTTTCTTTAGCGACAGTACTCATAATTCTTGTACATTTTTCTACAAATAAAAATCCAAGAAATATATAATAAGTCTATAAAACTGTGAAAGACCCTCTTTAACTCCTCCTAGATTGTTACTGCTTAGTATTGGCCTTATAATTCTTTTTATACACAATTTTTATGAATATATCTGCACATATATATGTTACATGTTTTGTCAAGGCAAAATTTGTCAGAGTAGAACTAAAGAACCTAGATCTCATAGAACCTATTAAATAGATTAAGCATACAGTTAGAAATCAAGAGACCCCCCCTCCAAGAAAATAAAAGGAAAAAAATATGAAGATCTTTTACTTTAAGGGAAAGGGAAGTTTTGTCATCTTGTTTTGTAAGAGCTATTTTGTTATTTAATTTATTTATATTTCTCAGCTATAAAATTGGTCATTTTGTACTTTCTGACTGTTCACATATTTTTTCTACAAATCGCCTTTTCATGTCTATTGTCCATTTAAAAAACTGGGTTGTTCATCCCTTTCTGTAAGAGTTTTCATAGTCTAGCTACTAACCCTTACAATATGTTACAAATGTTTACTTCCAGTCTATTGTTTTTCCCTTAATTTTGGAATGAGGTCTCTGCTTTTTGAAACAGGATTTTACATTTTATTATGAAATGACTATTGGTAGGCTCCCGGGAGCCTGGGGATGGGGAGATGGGAACAGGGCAAGTTAAAATGCCACAAAATTCACTGTTCTTACTCAGATTCAGCCATTTTTCTTTAAGAAGCATTCCTTGGGTCATGCTTAGTGGCTCAGCCTGTCATCCCAGCACTCTGGGAGGCCGAGGCGAGAGGATTGCCTGAGCCTGTGGGTTCAACCTCATCTCTACAATAAATCAAAAACTAGCTGGGTGTGGTGGCGCTCACCTGTAGTTCTGGCTACTCGGAAGGCTGAGGCAGAAGGATCGCCAGGGTGAGGCTGGGGTGGCCGTGAGAGTGACACTGCCCTCCAGCCTGGGTGATGGAGTGAGACTCCAACTCAGGAAAAAAAAAAAAAAAAAAAAAGCAATATTCCTCGGATTACTGCAAGTCTTTGGTTTATTTTCAGAGTTTTGAAAAAAACTGATGCTGACAGCTTTGCCAGTACTCTCATTGCTTTTTCGGCGGAGAGGATTTGCAGGGGTCCTTCCTCCGCCCACTGGATCTATGATGACTTGGTGAATCAGTAAGTGACACCCAGCTTTCCCTCCCTGACTGTGCTTCTTGAACAGCTTATGGATTGTCATGTTTATTACATCCTGAGTTCCAAGAAAGTCTAGTCTGACTCTAAAGTGATTTACTCTCTGGAATTGATCATGAGAATTATTTTTCTTATCAAGGTGAATTAAGAAATGTAGTGGTCAGGGAGAATTTATATTTAGCAGTTGGTCATAGCTTTCAATCTGCTTAAGTTTTAAGGAAGACTTTTTTGTGGAAAATTTTCTCCTCCTCCTCCTCCTCCTTCTCCTTCATTCTCTTTTTTTTGAGTCGGAATCTCACACTGTTGCCCAGGCTGGAGTGCAGTGGCACACATGCTCACGGCCACCCCAGCATCGGCCTGCTGAACTCAGGCAATCCTTCCGCCTCAGCTTTCCAAGTAGCCAGAACTACAGACTCGCGCTACCACACTTGCTAATTTTTTGATTTTTATTGTGGAGATGAGGTCTCACCAAGTTGCCCAGGTTGTTCTCAAACTGCCGGCTCAGGCAATCTGCTCACCTCAGTCTTCCAAAGTGCTGGGTTTACAGGCTGGAGCCACCGTGCCTGGCCAAAAATTTTCTTCTTTAATCAGTATTTTCTATAATACATTAAAAAAAACTGAGCTCGCTAAAATTTTTAGAAAATGATAATTTGATATTTAATTTATTTTAGTTCAATTATTTTAAAATTATGGAATTTAAGATTCAGAGGTTGATGTCTTGGGGAGCCTCAGATTTGATTTGCCAGATAGAACCATACTGAATACTTTTTTCTAACCATGTTGTTCCCAGTTCATCTTTGATGCTAAGGCTTGCAAGATAGGAATGTGAGATTTCTATGGAGAAATGAAAGACCTCACGGTAGTGGTTGCGTCATTGCCACATTCTTTGTATTGTGATAAAAAATACCACATTCTTTGTATTGTGATAAAAATACTCTGAAAAGAAAGTTTATGTCTTGCCAGGCTTGGTGGCTCAGTCTGTAATCCCAGTACTTTGGGAGGCCAAGGAGAGTGGATTGCATGAGCCCCGCAGGTTGGAGGCAACTTGGTGAAACATTGCCTCTACAATAAATAAAAAATTAGCTGAGTGTAGTAGTGTGAGAATGCCACTGCACTCCAGCCTCGGTGACAGAGTGAGACTCCAACTCAAAAAAAAAAAAAATTCTCTGTTTTTCTTTTTTAAATTCTATCTTTCCTAAATTTCATTTTTATATAACTAATAACTTCCCCAAAGTTTGCATTAAGTTAGTTGCTTTATTACTGTGGATTATACTACTGGTAAGAAATTATTTCAGTTAAAATTTTAAGCTAAGAGGCAAGTATAGTATAATGATTAAGAGTAAGCATTGTGGATTAAGATTGCTAGATTAGAATTCTGGTTTCTCCTCTTACTAGCTATATAATCAAAGGGGGCTTTCTAAGCCTTAATTTTCTTATTTGTAAAGCTGGGATAATTTCTACTTTATATGTATTAAGATTTTGAATGAGATAACTCATAGCTTTTAGTACATTGTCTGGCACATAATGTGTCTAGTGAATAGCAGATGTTATTGTTAGCATTATATTTATAGTAATAACATAAAAAATTAGATTTTTTGCTAGAAATGTGACCAGAATTGGGCAAAGTGCCTACTTGTAGGTAAATACTTAGAAAACTCCATGCTTATCTAAAGTTGGTTTCCCATAGTAGGTTATTGAAACAAAATCAATTTCTTCTCCAAGATAAGTTGTTGATTCTCATGGTATATTAATTTCTTTGTTTATTGTCTTTTTTTGCAGCATTCCAGGATGCCTTGATGATTTTCTCTAAGATAAAACATGGTTGAGTTGCAACTGATGAAGTAGTTGCTATTTTAGATAGCATGGGTATCCCTTTAAATCTGAAACTTTTGAAGAAGTGATGAGACATACCTATATTGACAGTGAGTTATTTGAATCGATATATATCTCAACATGTATGCATATCTTCTTTTTCCTCTTGATTCTTACCTTTTGCCATTGACTCTGCTTAATTGTGTCTATAGCAAGAAATAGCCTAGGAACAATACATGAGAAATTTCTAAAATTGTTATATTTTGGTGTGTTTGGTAAGAGTAAGAAAGTTTTAAAAAATTTTCATCCTTATCTCTCTTTTCCAATAGTCATTGTTTTGTCTTTGTGGAGAGGTAGTTTCTTGTAGTGTTAAGGGGATTTATTTCATGAATTAAGCAGACCTAAATTTCTTGAATTCTTAAGTCTATATGTAACTTTGATGAAGACATTTTGCTATGCAGTTCAGTTACTCTTTGTATAATGTAGATTCCTTTAAACATTATATATATATTTATTTTTATTTTTATTTGTTTTGAGTTGGAGTCTCACTCCTTCGCCCAGACTGGAGTGCAGTGGCACACACGCTCATGACCATCTTCTGGGCCCCAGCGATCCTTCTGCTTCAGCCTTCCAAGTAACCAGAACTACAAGCGTGGGCTACCACACCCATCTATTTTTAATTTTATTGTAGAGACAAGGTCTCGCCAGGTTGCCCGGACTGGCCTCAAATCCGTGGACTCAGGCAATCCACTCGCCTTGGCCTCCCAAAATGCTGGGATTACAGGCTGAGCCATTGAGCCCGGCCTATAAATATATTAAGCAGGTGTTTTATGCCACATGTTTACATGTGGCTGGGGATGTCCTATAATTGATTAATTAACGATTAATTAATTCACTCATTTAATGAATTAGATAGTCATCTAATATCTAGTGTGCCTGGAACTATGCTAGGTGATACAAGAATGAATATAACACACTTTTTTCTTTTTTGAGTCGAAGTCTCACTCTGTCACCCAGGTTGAACGCAGTGGCACACTCACAGCTACTGTGGCCTCAACCTGCTGGGCTCGGGTGATTCTCCACCTCTGCCTTCCAGGTGGCTGGAACTACAGGCACACGCCACTATGCCTGGCTAGTTTTTTTGACTTTTGGTAGAGATGAGGTCTCACCAAGTTGACCAGGCTGGTTGTGAACCCCTAGACTCAGGCAATCCTCTCACCTCGACCTTCCAAAGTGCTGGAATGACAGGTGTGAGCCACCATGCCTGACTCACACTTATTTTTTCGAAGGAGTCCACATTTAAGTGTGGAAAGAGTCAAGTGAACTGAAACTTAAAATTCTCTTTGGCAAGTAACATAATAGAGTATACATAGGCTACAAATACATATTAGAAGCGCTGAGGAAAGATTATCAGAGGGTTGATGTCTGAGTTAAATATCGAAGGATCAGTATGAGTTAACGAGTTGAAAGTGGTAGTGAAGCGTGAGAACAACATTTTAAACTGAGGAAATGGTGTGTGTGAAAATGGCAGAGAAATAATCAGACACGGCATTCTTTTCAGTGGACTTCTATTGGTTGTTAGTAGTGGCTTTGCAGTGGGTCTTTGGTTGCTGTAATGTGGTCTAGAGATAGAACTAGGTTTTATGGAGTTCTATTAAGTCATTTGTGGTGAACTCTGGGGTGATAGGCATGAATGGAAGGACAAACTGGAATATGAAAATGTCTGAAAATGGGGATTTTAAAGACTAATCTTAAGTTTTTAGGGCATGCCTTGTCAGGAACAACAGAAATCTTATATGAAACTGCTGCATACCTTGTTGTTGGCATATGGAATTCTGGGCCTCCCGGTCTCCTACTTTATTTGGGGAGGTAGACTGGACAAATGATACTCATTTTATAAGATTGTTGTGGGAATTAAATATGCTTGGCATCTAGAACAGGCTCAAGAAAGGTGATGCAGAAACCTAAGCGTCATCTTTGACAACTCTATTTCTCTTTTCTCCTCATGCAGTCATTATTTAAAGCCTTAGATATCTCTCATGTCTTTCTATTTCTAGCTTCCCACCTTTGTCCAAGCTAGCATAATCTTTCCTCGGAACTGCTGTAATTCATCCTAGTGAGTCTCCCAACATGTACACTTGTCCCTCTTTACATTGCAGCCAGAATCATCTTTTTTAAAACATAGGTCTGATCGTGTTACCCACCTTGTGTAAGCCCCAAAACAGCTCTTGGGATAAAGAATTCTTTGATGTGGATACAAGGCTTTGTGCGTTCTGTCCCTTACCCAGATCTTCAGCTTTACCTCAGATCACATTCTCACTTGCTCTCTGTGCCTTCTGAGTTTCAACTATATACCACTTCCTTCTTGCCAAATAGCCGTAGTGTGTGTTCTTTCCTCTCACTTGAGCATTACTACTAGTTAATTCCTACTTATACGTTAGATCTAAGTTGCACTGTCTTTTCTTCAGGCATTTTTTCCCCCCTGTTTTCTTCCACTAGGTCAAATTCTCATGTTATACACTCTCATACCATTAATCATCAGTGCAATTTGTATTTTGGTGTGATTAACATCTGTATTTCAAGTCAGGCTAAGCATTGGGTGAGCAGGCATCACGTCTGCTTTTGCCCAGTAGTGTATCCTCAATACCCAGCACAGGGCTTAGAGCACGTATTAACTTCTCAACAAATATCTGTTGAATGAATGAACAATTATGATCTCTTACCCCACCTCCTCCAATCAGGGAGAACAAGATTCATAAGCTAGCTACAGTTGGAGACAAAATTCCTCATAAGGAAGGTTTCTGTCTTTTGACTAGAAAAATCCTCTGAAGAGGTATGTTAGATTATGAGAGTTAAAACCTAGGAGATGCCTAGATTGAGCAAAAAGATAAGGCAAAGAACACTACTTAAGAAAACAACAGGAATTTACAATACAGTAGTGGCTTAGTGGGGAGAGAAGATGACTGGAACTTAAGTGTGGGTAGGGGAGGGCAATTGGTAAAGAATAACCACACGACTTTAGGACTGTTGCATGTGGTTGCTTGCTGTGGTGTGAAGAACTCCCTTACTCTCATTAATTGCAAACTGTTAGTAGAAGTTGGCTATATGGGATAGCTTTGCATTAGTATTGTTGGTGGGAGAGACCCATAGGAAAGACCCATAGGTTCTATGTGGGATCTGCTTGGAGTGGAAAGAGGATGTAACTGTGGAAGGTGAGAATTCGAGTGAGATCAAGAGTCCATGGGTGGGGTGGGGCACATAGCATTAATAAGGGTACCCAATCTCAAACTAGGTGAAGTGCTGACCAAAAGGGGGCCCAAACTTTACCTGTGTGATGACCACTTATATACCTAATTCTGAATTGTAACCCACATCTTCAAAATAAAAAAACAAAGACTAAAGAGTCCATGGGAATATAAAGTAAAACAAAAGTCAGCAAGATTGTAAACTACTCAGAATCCTCAAATTTTGGACAGGGTATTGATTTACATGTTAGTATGTGGTCTGGGGTCTGAGCTGTCTTACTTAAAGGAAGGAATGACCCCAGGATGCCAAAAATTCGGGGTCACCCAGGTAAGAGATATGAATTTTTCTGTAGCAGGATTTCGCAGTAAGGAATAACATTACTCAGTTATCATGATAAAAGTCCCAGCACTGCAGGGACTTTTCTAGCAACTTGTTTTTATGTTTGGTCTATTGCTGGAGTCATGGTGATAGGTGGAGAGTATGCTCATCTTTTATGAATGTTCATAACGAAGAGGAAGGAATGATGCCAATGGGATTTTCAGGAAAGTCCAACTAGGAGTTGCTTTATTCAGATATGACAAGAAGTACTGGATGGACAATCAGCTGATGACAGTTCTTCAGAGTGTCAGCTATTTCTCTTTCTGAAATAGGGTATTGGTATAGCACTTTTTCTCTCTTAGAGATTTTAGGGATTTGGAAGTTGAACTGATAATTTGTGACTAGCACAGTTATTTCTAGAGGAGTGGGGCTACCTGAAGATTACAGAAATGTAGTTGCAATGGCCACCTTCAAAGTAGTATTGGCTTGCATATGACCTTGATAATTAGGATCATTTCCCCCCTCAGACTAGGTAGTTGTATTTTCCAGGATAAATTTCCTCCAGAATTACATACATTGGAGTGGGAGGCTGCTTAAGCTTCCCTTATGAAGTAAATGGTACCTGTAGCCCTATTGATTGCTTCCATCTTAACTAGGAATCATTCTTCAAGGTTTTGGCAAGCTATAAAGGGACCACCATAGTCACTTCAGATTCTAGAACATTTCTTTGGCCACCAAGGGCTATTTGGATAGGGATTAATAATATTTGTCTGGGAGCTCATGATAGGTGTCTATTACTGCATGGAAGCAAGGAATAAATTTGAGCAAGAGCTAGTGAATCTGTGGAAATGGTTGAATACCACATTCCCATTAGTTGATGTTGGACTTCTGTCCATAGAAGGGAGTTTTAAAATGAGGGTCAGATAAAAGCAACATAACCTTCTTCACTGGATTAGCATATGCGTGATTCAAGAGCTTGATGTTGAAGCCTTTATGTTGTCTTAAGACAAGCTCTGACCTAAGAATTTGGGACATAGAATCGATCTACAGTAAGTGCTAGTAACTGGGGAGACTATAAGATATCTTAGAACCATAATCAAGAACAGAATGGAGTTAAATATCAAGTAAATAAGAAACCAGAATGCAGGAAGCAGTTTAATCAGAAGGCAATTTAACACCAATTTGGTCTAGCATTTCTTTGATCGGTTCAAGTACATAGTACTTGCTTTGCAGTCATTTAAAAGCCTGCACCTAACATGTATAGCTTGCCATTTTTTCAAAGAATCAAAGTGAATCAAACTTACTCAATATCAAAACTATACTATTCTTCTTTGACTCAAAAGTCATGTAAAAATTTGCATCTTTCTCTGTCTTCACTTGAGTGTATTATTGAACAGTTGATTTCTTAAGACTGAAGAACACATCCATATTATTATAGAAAGCTACATGACTTTATAGACTTTTTCACCTTGGGTTGTAAACAGAGTCAAACACTTGGAAGCAAGAACTATTGGGCAAAACATTTTCTACCTCTGTGCACAATTGGAATGACATTATTCAAGGTCATTGCATCTGAACATATCCTCAGTCATGCACTGTCTGAGAAGAAAACTGATCTTACATGGGACAGAGGCAGGAATGGTGGGAAGTTAAAATTATGAGAGTACTGAGCACAGAGGAGGTGCTAAGTAATTGGTTATCTGCCATTCACGATGTAGATATTGCACTGTTCGTTACAGCTTTCAGTAGATACAATGTAGGAATTAGGGAAACAGAAATGAAAGGCATATTCTCTGTTCTTGAGGAGCTCACACACTAGAGAAGAAGACAAAATTGTAAATACTTGGAGTATTATCTGTAGTAAACACTCAACATGTTTATAAAATTAATAAAATATCCTGGTTTCTAGCATGGAGGCTTAAAAAAATGTGACTATTTGTTTTGACGGTAAATACTTTTATTAAGGAGAAAAAATGATGATCCTAGTCTTATGTTTTAGTGTTTACAGTTACTCATTCATAGTTGCAGATATTATTCAAAACCCATCCTAGTTGGCTGTTTGTTCCTACTTCCACACATTTCTGTGTTATTTTTATATTAGAATAGGATGGCAACTATATCTGTGTTCAGAAGTAAATATAGTATTTGAATGTATTTTTTTTTGATTACAGGTAACCATATGGTGGCTATTGGGGATATTTTATTTGTTTTGGATGGACTACGGTAACCGTATGAGGATGTTTGTAAATAAGTTGTTGTCGCTTTGGCAAGTTTTGCTTAGAAACAAAGTCTTCAAATTAAATCTGAATTTGTAAGTTTTATTTTATAAAGGGCTTTGAAAGCCTTCTCTGAACTCTTCACTCTAACCCTTACATCAGCAATATAAAAACAATATTCATCAAAATGGCCATCTGTATGTCTTCTTTTGAGAAATGTCTATTCATGTCCTTTGCCCCCTTTTAAAATAATTTAAAAAAAAATTTATTTTAAAGATGTGAGGTACAAGTCAGGGTTAGGCAAACAAATGCTCATTAAGAAGGTCCCCCTGTTGATGAGGTGTCCCCCCCCCAACCCCGGCAGTTTCCCTCAACTGCCAATCCCTTTCTCATAGTATTATAATAATTGTTCAAGGTCCTCTTATGAATGAGAACGTATGGTACTTTTAATGAGCTTTAAAAAAAAAAACTATTGAGTTGTTTGAGTTCCTCGTATATTTGGGTTATTAGTTTCTTGTCAGATGAATAATTTGCAGATTCTTTCTCCCGTTAAAGAGTTTGTCTTTTCACTCTGTTGATGGTTTGTTTTGCTTTGCATAAGATTTGTAGTTTAGTATAGTCCTATTTATCTATTTGTGTTTTTGTTGCCTGTGCTTCTGAGGTCTTAGCCATATAATCTGTGCGTAGAACAATGTTCTGAACAATTGTCCCTGTGTTATCTATCATCTAGTAGATTTATAGTGTCAGGTGTTACAGTTTAAGTTTTTTAATCCATCTTGAGTTGATTGTTGTATATGGTGAGAGATTGGGTCCCATTTCATTCTTCTGCATATGGTTATTCTATTTTCTTAGCAACATTGATTGAAGAGGGCAGCCTTTCCCTAATGTATGTTGACCAGTTGGCTATAAATATGTGGCCTTGTTTCTGAGTTCTCCAGTCTGTTCCATTGGCTTATGTATCTATTTTTATACCAATACTATGCTGTTTTGGTTACCGTAGCCTTGTAAAATATTTTGAATTTAGTACGTGTGATGCCTCTAGCTTAGTTCTTTTTGCTTTCTATTCTGGTTGTTTTTTGAATTGGCTTTTCTATGTCTGTGAAAAATGACAGTATTTTTCTAGGGATGGCATTGAATCTGTAGATTGCTTTGGGTGGTGTTTTAATGATGTTAATTCTTTCAATCCATGAGCATGAGATATCTTTCCGTTTGTTTATGTCCCCTTCAATTTCTTTCATCAATATATTGTAGTTTTCCTTGCAGAGACACTTCACCTCGTTGGTTAAATGTATTTCTATGTATTTTATTTTATTTTTGTAGCTATTGCAAACGAGATTACATTCTTGATTTCTTTTTCAGTGTTTTGTTACTGAATTGCTACTGATTTTTGTATATTAATTTTGTATCCACAAATTTACTGAATTTGTTGACCAATTCTGAGAGCTTTTTGATAGAGTCTTTTGATTTTTCTAAATATAAGACCATGCTGCCTGTAGAGAGGGGCATTTGACTTCTTCTTTTCCAGTTTGGATGGTTTTTTTCTTTTTCTCTGAGACAGTATGCAGTCTGCTGTGGGTTGTGCTCCCCAAATGGCTCTTTGCTGTAACTGCTTAGGACTCTGGGGGAGTATGGGACCTAGTGCCGGCTCGTTCCCTGACACAGCACCTTTGTGTGATCTCCAGGCAGCTCTCTATGTTAGTTCAGAGTCTGCGAGGGTCTAGTGTCTCTGTGGCTAGTATTACAGGAATCCATGGTGGGAATATGAACCTTTGGTGGTCTCTCACTTACCCTTTTCCCACACTGGGGAGTCTCTCCTGGCTCCCAGATGATTCTGGTTTTCCTCTTCTTTCTTGCTTTAGGTGTTTCCTGTCATTTTTCTATTGAATTCCAGTGTTCTTGGAAGATCTATTCAAAGTGTAATTATCAACTCACTATTTTAGTTCTCCCTAGCAGAGGTGAATACGAGATGCCTCTCGTTAGCCATCTTGAAGCTCCTCTGATTCCATTCTTTCAAAGGCTGTAGAGCATTTCATTGTGTATATATACCACATTTCCTTTATTCAGTCATCCATTGATGAATACTTAAATTTATTCCATATATTGGTTATTGTGAATAATGTTGCAATAAACATGGGAATGCAGGTATCTCTTTGACATAATGATTTCATTTTCTTTGGACATATTCCTAGCAGTGGGATTGCTGGATTATATGGTGATTCTATTTTTAGCTTAGAGGAAGCTTCATATTGTTTTCCATAATTGCTATACTAATTTACATTCCCACCAACAGCGAGCAAGTGTTCCCTTTTCTTAATATTCTCTCTAGCACTTGTGCATTTTTGTGTTTTTTTTTTTTTAATTTTAATTTTGAAGATGTGGGGTACGATTCAGGGTTAGATATACAAATGCATTTTTGTGTTTTTGATAATAGCCATTTTAATATGTGTGAGGTGATGTTTCATTGAGGTTTTAATTTGCATTTCCTAATGATTAATGGTGTTGATCTTTTTTTTTGTTTGATTTTTTCTTTGAGTTGAAGTCTCACTCTGTCGCCCAGACTGGAGTGCAGTGGCACGCTCATGGCCACCCCAGCGTCGACCTGCTGGGCTCAGGTGATCCTTCTACCTCAGCCTTCCCAGTAGCCGGAATTATGGGAGCGCGCTACCATGCCCAACTAGTTTTTTATTTATTGTAGAGAGGAGGTTTCGTCAAGTTGCTGGGGCTGGTCTTGAACCCGCGGGCTTGGGCAATCCACTCACCTTGGCCTCCCAAAGTGCTCGGACTACAGGCTGAGTCACTGAGCTCGGCCTTGATCATTTTTTAAATGAACTTCTTGGTCATTTGTATGCCTTCTTTCTAGAAATGGCTGTTTAGGTCCTTTGCTCATTTTAAATTGCTGTGTTAGCTGTGAGTGTGCCTCTGCACTCCTGCCTGGGCGGTAGTGCGAGACTCTGACTAAAAAAAAAAAAATATATATATATATTGGGTTATTTGCTTTCTTGCTATTGAGTTGTCTGAGTTTCACATGTATATATTTTGACTACTAACTCCTTATCAGATGTATGGTTTGAAAATATTTTCTCCTATTCTTTTTTTTTTAATTTATAAAGAAAAATGGTTTATTTGGCTTACGGTTCTGCAGGTTTTACAAGAAGTATGATACAAGCATCTGATTTTGGTAAGGGACTTCAGGAAGCTTCCAGTCATGGAGGCAATTGAAGGGAGCAGGTCTCACATGGTGAAAGGAAGGGAGAGAGAGGGGAGGGAAGTGCCAGGTGCTTTTCTTTTCTTTTTTTAAACATATTTTTTATTTTAAAATTGTGGGGTACAGTTAAGGGTTAGGTATACAAATATGCATCGTTCAGGCACCCTTGTTGATAAGGGGTGTCCCCCCGTCCCCAGACAGATATCGACTACCGTTAATCCCACCTCCCTTCCTCGCTCTGCCCCTCCATAATTTCCCACCACTGTCAATCCTTTTCTTATAGTATTACGATAGATATTCAAGGTGTTTCTTTCATTCTTCACTCTGATTATTGTTTCCTTGGCTTTGCAGAAGCTATTTAGTTTGATGTGATTTTGTTTGTCTATTTTTGCTCCTGTTGACTGTGCTTTTGGGTTCATACCAGAAAAATCATTGTTCAGATCAATGTCATGGAACTTTTCCCGTATATTTTCTTTTAGTAGTTTTACAGTTTCAGGTCTTACACGAAATCTTTAATTTGTTTTGAGTTGATTTTTATATATGGTGAGGGATAAATCTAATTTATTTCTCCTGCATGTAACTATTCAGTTGTTTCAACACCATTTATTGAATCATCTGGGGGCTGTTTTCTTGATTGGGGGGGGAGTTATTAGTGTATGGAAACGGTTGATCTTTGTATGTCGATTTTTTACCTTGAAACTTTACTAAATTTTTTAATTTAGTAAACCACATAGTGAGCACCCCATGAGAGGCCACAGAGCACTTTATTATGTGTTATTTAAATGTAAGATAATATTCCGAACCATTGGATACATTTTATAAATGAAGTTCCAGTGTGGGACGTTGTATTAGTGTTTTTATAAAGATATTATCTTATAATATTGCTATTTTTTCCTCCACAAATACTGAGAATATTTAGGACAGTAATTATTTGGATTTTAACTTTATAAATAAAAATTTCTCCTTTTTAGCTTCCCCATAGTTCTGTACTTTTATAAGTAAGGAATTTCCATTTATACTAGATTATTGGTCTATTATTTTTCTAAATTGGGAAGGAGTAGAGAATGAGAACCATGTACTTCATTGGGCTATCATTTTAGCTTCAGTGTAGCTTTAAATAGCTGCGAATGAAAAGAGTTAAATATATTAAACCAGATGATTATATTTGACTTGAACATTTACCATAATACTATAAGAAAGGGATAGGCAGTAGCCAGAAACTGCCGCAGGAGAGGGCCACATAATATTAATAAGGGTACTTGATCTCAAACTAGGTCATATGGGAACCAAAGGGAGTCCCAAATGTTACCTGTGTGACAACCACTTGTATACTTAGTCCTGAATTGTACCTCACATCTTTAAAAAAGAAAATACGTAAATATATTAAACTAGCAGATTATATTTGACCTATAATGGTAATTAATTTAATCTTTTGATTTCCAACTCTGTTAAATTTTAAAAATATGTTTAACCAGTTGCTAATTTCTTAAATAAGTTTCATGAGGACTTAGTTGTTATTTTTGAAATATATTGCAAATTGTACAGGTAAATGAAATAATTCAATATTTTTCTCTTACCTAGTATTTGTGGAAGGGTCAGCTTTGGATGAAACTACTTCAGGCAGAAAGTTATTAAATGTAGCAGAATGCTATCTACGATATAAGAGGAAACACAGTTTACCTTTCAGCTCTCTGAGTCTTCTATACCCAAAAAGTTAAATTTAAAAAGCCTCCAATATTATAACAAAAGTATTAAGGAGACTGACGAGTTTGAATTTAAAAGATCAGAAAATACATTGCAAATAAGAAAATATCTGGGTGAGGCCAATGGCAGTAATGCTGGATTTCAAGATTCATATTCAAAGAATGGCATCAACTTTAAAAAAAATTCAGAGAAGGGCGAAACCTATGACTCAAAGTCTAAATCCCAAAGCTTGAAGAGTGTTACAAACTTCAATAAGTCTCTGAATAAAAGTGATATTTCTAGTACTCCAGCACTTTGGAAGCCAGTTGTGAGAAGGCATTCCAGCTTTCTAAAACAGAGTTCATCTAAGGAAAAAGCTGCAGTTCCTACTCTGGGTAAGTCAGAATCTAAATTCTTGAGTTCTCAGTCATCACAGAACTGGACAGAATGAATCTGTTATTAGATAGCTGTAAGCATGTCTGTTGTCACTGTCCTGGGTAACCACTACTTCTGATGCAACATATGGTTGGATACGATATTGGGTCTTTGACGGTTCTTCCTTTCCAGATGCCTTCATTAGAGGGGAGCCTAACTTTTTCTGGGAAGCTTACTCAATAATTAATGGAATTCACTCTAGTTCCCTAGAAAGTAGAGGGCCTGATTTCTTTTGGAAATGTTAATTTTGTAATTTCTTTAAACAAGCATTTTAGAAGTCTATGTAAACATCTTATTGGGAGTTTCATAATTTAGACATATTCTATTCATGGTGGCTCAGGTGTTATCTCTGATAGATGGAGCATATCAAGACAAAATAACTCATACTTGTCATCTGGATCTCCAAGGCTTTATTATTTTTCTCAAAGATGCTGAATGGTTTCCCAACCAATATATGTTCTCCTTCTCCTGTGTTACTTTCATCACGGAAATACTGTGTGTGGAACTTAATTGAACGCTCCTTCCTGTAGTCCACTGCTGAAGTTACTGAAGTCATGGTCATTCTCTTTAAAGAGACTTAGTGACCTAACATTGTGTTTGGTATTGAATGTGGTAGTTAAAGAGAGTGCTTAGTTAAAAATTAGTGACTTATACATTCATGCAGACTCTAAAGAACTCAACTGAAAAAGGAATGTGGATCTATTTAGGAGGCGTGGTGACGTTCATTCTGATTCCTTTACTGATTCACTGCTGCTACTCTGTGCCTCTTTTCTGTTTCTGAGAGTTCTTTGTATCTCAATAAGAAGTAAAGCCCTGGATTAAATTAATAATGGAGCTGTAGACATTTACTGTGGGTAGAAAAGGACTTTATAAGAAAGTGACATCTACTTTCCTGGTGTCACTAAAATCAAATGTCACCTACCACTGCCATATTTAATGTTCTACATATAGAGAGTTTTGAAGTAGTTTATCTAATAAAAGTTTACCAAAAAAACTCATGGTAATTAGGCATCTATGGAATGTGACTGCCTGTATGGTATACATGAAAATTCTAACTTTTCATTTTGAAATATTACATTCTTAAGAGTTTCAAAAACAGTAAAAACATCTCCATGTATTTTTAGTATAGTTTTCCCATGTTAAGACCTTGTGTAACCATAGTTCAATGAGCTAAGCCAAGAAATCAACACTGATGCCATACTACTTGCTAACAGACAGAACTTATTCACATTTTGTTAGTTGTTCCAAGAATGTCTTTTACCTGGTCCAAGATCACACATTACGTTTAATTGTTATATATCCCTAGTCTCCTCCCATCTGGAATGGTTCCTCATTCTTTCACAGTCTTGGCTCTTTTGAAGAATGTTGAGAAGTTGTTTTTTATAAGGCCCTTCATCTTGGGTTTTCCTTTTATTTATTCATGGATAAATTCGGGTTATGCATTTCTGGTGAGAATATCACAAAGTAGTATTGTACTCATCTCAGTGTGTCATATTAAGAGATTCATGATGTCCACGTGTATCTGCTTGAAGAATGTTATTTTTTGAAGGCTGTAAACTCAAAACATGGTAGGGCAAACTAATGGGAAGCAGAAGAACTCTCAATTTGTTCTTCAAATTCTGGAATTTAAGCAAAACACTTGGGTGTTTTGATTTCATGGACTCATTAATTATATTTTAATCAGAAGCAAGTTTGGTTGGGCCACCGAACAGGTTGTTCCTCCAGGAAAGTAGTTTATAAATGTTTATGGAGTTTCAAGACAGTTCTGTGTTTGAGTTAATTGAGAAGGATTAAGTATAATGCAAGACACAACAGAAATATGGAGAGAAAAGCAGTCCCTTTCTAAGGCAGATAAAACTTGCTCTCTACTTGATGCATATTTTAAGTGCTAATTATTGTTTTGACACTTAAATTCTCTTGCTTGATAGTCCTCAACATTTTGTATATTTAGAAAATGTCTGATGCTATCAGTAAATTCCAAGGAGAGGACATTGCTGCAGAGGAGCTTCAGTCTATTTTGCCTTCAGTAGGAATCACTTTATTAGATAAAGAGTTCCAGAAGATTGTGGCAGACACTATTAGAAACGGTGAGAGACTGGTGATACTAAAGCTTTTGAGGAAATTAGATATATTTATGGGATAGTTATTAGATATTGGAAGACTTCTTCTCAATTAGGAATGGGACAGAGTGGGCCTTTCTAAGGAAAATTCAGATAGAAAAATGAAAGGCAGTATAAAATAGCTCCTGGAAAATCTGACCTAACAGGTTGGTTTGGAGGGGCGCGGCGTTTCATATTTTCCAAATTGTTTTCAAAGCTCATGATCCCTCGCTATGTCTTCTGGTTTGGCAGAGGGGAGGCCAGTCCAGTGGGAGAAAGTTCAGACAGTAAGACCACCATGTCCATGGAACTCTCTAAGCAATTAGCCTGGAACTCATAGAAAAATAACTGGAGATTACAAAATTTAGAGACAATTTAGAGCTGGTGGTACTTGAACAATCAAGGCAAGCAGTGAACATTTACATGCTAAATGGCATAGCCCAGGCACCAGCCTAAGTTCAAAGAAGAGTATAAATTTCTAGAAAGCGTTTTTAAATTTTCTTTTTTGAGTTGGAGTTTCACTCCATTGCCCAGGCTGGAGTGTAGTGGCATTCTCACAGCCAATACAGCTTCCACCTGCTGGACTCAGGTGATCCTCCCCACTCAGCCTTCCAAGTAGCTGGAACTACAGGTGTGTGCCACCATGCCTGGCTAATTTTTTGATTTATTGTAGAGACGAGATCTCGCCAAGTTGCCCAGGCTGGTCTCGAATCCCTGGACTCAGGCAATCCTCTCTTCTCAACTTCCCAAAGTTCTGGGATTACAGGCATGAGCCACCACACCCGGCTTAGGAAGGGGTTTTATACTAGAGAAGTTGTTTTTTCAGTAACTAAGAACTGGTCACAGCAGAAGTTCAGTTGAGGAGAGGACAGAGGCAACATTTTGGGGAAAGTCTGACTTAGGAATAACATGAGACGCGGATTTTCAGGATCTGGGCACAATATCTTAGTGAAGGCAAATAGAAAGAAGATTTAATTTAAAAAATATTTGTGGAAGGAATGGGTGCCACTGACATTATTGAGCCTTTTATCAGGATTGGTACGAAGGAGGGTTTGCATCAGAAAATATGCTGTTGATTCAATCACATGACTGCTAGGGGTATGGATGGGGATACCTGCGTCTGTTAGGGCTGGTTAGTATGGTTAAAAGTGTCTTAATGGAGAGCATATTGACTGGGTTTTCATTATGGTATGAAATAGACTTCTTAACTCACTCATGGTTAGCTATATGAATACCTTTCCTTTTCTATATCCATCAAGAACTTGAACCTGAGTCCTTCGCATGTAACAAATACGGAAAAAGCAGGGACTGTGTGACTTATTTTTATATTCTTTATGCCTAGCATAGTTCTTGGCACTAATATGCCGTCAATAATTGCTGAAAGGAACTGATCTAATTTAAAGAGAATCATTGTAGGAGACTTGATGTGAAGGAGAAATAGGGATGAAATGAAGGGTTAAGTACTTTTTTTTATAAAATAGTTGTATTAAAATGTGAATTTACTTTTTGTAAAAAAATTTATTATAAAGATGTGGGATACAATTCAGGATTAGGTATACAAACACTGACCATGCAGGTACCCCTGTTGATGAGGTATGTCCCTCCCTCCCCTAGCAGTTTCTCTCAACTGCCAATCCCATGCCCCCACCCCCCGACAGTTTCCCATTACTAATTTTACTTTTATGCAAAAATACAACACAATGTATACACTCTTATTTAACAGAAAATGAAATGGTGAAATTAGATGACTTTATAAGTCAAGGAACGAAATCTTCCTGAATGCGACAGTAGGTTGAAGATTTGTTTTAAAGTGATTTGGAGAAAAGAGAAGTTGAAGGGGGAAGAATTCATTTCAGTAGAACTGGGTTTGCTTTTGGATAGATGCTAATAACCTTGTGACTTAGGCAAGTCAATTGCCAGTTTTAAAAAACCTGCTGTTATCAGGGTAATAATAGCTAATTTGCTTGCCTCACAGAGTCGTCATCTGGATTTTATAAACTGAAAATGTACAGTAATTCTAGTGATTATGAGATCCACTGATTAGGAATTGGTGGACAATTTGCGTTTTAATCTTTTTTTTTTTTTTGAGTTGGAGTCTCCCTCCTTCGCCTAGCCTGGATCTATGTCCCCACATTTGCCTGTGTTGGACATTTAATATAAATGAAATAGTATTAATATACTCTTGTGTGCTTGGCTTTCCTTACTTTGCATAATTTTTAATTGATATGTGATAGTTGTACATATTTTGGGGGTGCATGTGATATTTTGATACATGCATACAGTGTGTACTGCTCCAGTCAGGGTTACTGGGATACCTATCACCTCAAACAGTTTTCCTTATGTTGGGAACATTCCAATTCTTGCCTACCAGCTATTTTGAAACATATAAATTATTGTTTACTATAGGCACCTCCTGTGCTATCAAGCAGTAGATCTTATTCCTTCTTTCTGACTGTGTTTTTGTACCCATTAATCAACTTCTCTTCATTTCCTCACTCTTTTCACCCTTTCTAGCCTCTGGTTCACTTTGTTAGCTCTCACATGTGCGATATTTGCCTGGCTTATTTCACTTAGCATCATGACCTCCAGTTTTATCCATGTTGCTGCCAATGGCAGGATTTCATTGTTTAATGACCAGGAAATGTTTCATTACTTCTAGGGAACTCATTTTCTTTCTTTTTTTTTTTTTTTTAATAATTAATCAGTATTTTTATTATA